AGGGTGCCTGAACGAAACGTATTTGTATACCTAACCCTTAACTGTACCCTACAATATCATAATAAAAAAGATTTGATTATTAAAAAAAAAAAGGCAAGTGGGAAAAAAATCAGTTCCATTTGAGATACAAGTCAAAAAAATTGGCCACTGAATATTATTGAGTTAGACGTTTAGAGCAGAGGTCAGGGTCGGAGATACAAATGTGGTAAACAACAGCATGCAGAGTGTAGCTATTAAGAGCACTTTCCTAGGGTCAAATCTTAGCTGAGCCATTTAAGAGTTGTAAAATTAGAACAATAATAGGGAAAATATACATGCATATATAATCTCAAGTGCTTACTATTTATTTTCCTATATTTTAATAAGCAAAGCATTCATATATTAATGAATTAAAAAACTACAAAAGGGTTTATAGTCAAAAGTCTGCTTCCTAACCCTTTCTTTAAAGGTGATATGTAGATCAGTTTCTTTCATATTCTTTCAGAGATATAAGCACAAGCAAGCAAATATTTGACATATATTTGTTTAAATAACCTTTTAGAAATACAAATAAAAATATTTTAGATAAATACAAGTATAGACTCTTCTGTACTTTTTCCCACTTAGCAATGTATTGAGTATAATTTGTCTTGAAAGCCATAATCCTATAAGCCTTCTTCAGGGAAAAAAAGAAGAAATTACACTAAATAAAACTATATTCATCTAAATCATCAAGTGCGATTTAGGATAATCCACGGCATTTTCAACACGAACATTAGAGAAAATAAATAAACAAACAAACATTTGCCAAAAAGGTAAATTATATCATAATATTTCTTACAGGGACCTATTTTTTATTAGGAAAAAAACCCTAAACGTCAGAGGGCCCCTTCATCTCTCAGAAAGACACCAGTCATGGAAACACTCAGTCGAGCACCGAGGCATACTCACACAGCTCTCGGCTCAGAAAAGACGTCAGTGTGGATGTGCATCATCAGGTCTCCGCCAGCAGCGTACTCCATTACAAAGCAGACGTGCTCTTTGGTTTGGAAACATGCAAAAAGGTTCACCAGAAAGGGATGCCTTACACTATTCACAGTTTCAAAAATTCTTTTTTCACACATTAGGCTGAAAGAGAAAACATTTAAAGATTAATAGGTTTTAAAAATTCTAGTTGGAAATAATATTCTTTACCTTACTAAACTTTAAAATAAGCAAACTTTTAAACTGTAAGTTTAAAATGATGAAATTTGTCTTAGTTTTGCTATATGCACTATGAAAACTTATCTACTTGCTATAACTGAGTATATTATTATATTATATAACTTTATCTGAAGCATATTAATTAAACTAAAATATAATTAGCATGACAAAGACAACAGACTTTCCATCGACAGCATTAGAGTAGCAAACATATGGTGAGTGCTTATAGTCACATTTTTAAAAAGCTTGAGTGGGTAAATTATGAAAATTCTTCAGGAATTGGTCAGATAATTTAGCAAACTCAAGAGTGTGGGGTATAAGTGAGGGTTTACTACGTATGAAGGTTGCATGCAGGTGAAGTTTGGTGTTGCATGCAGGTGCAGTTTTCCTGCTGGAAGTGGGCCAGGAACCCAGTGTGATGCCACGTGTCCTCCTCCATTCCTAGCAATGACCACTGTCCATGTGATCAGTGATCAGGAGCTGCTTACGAGCGAGAACATGCAGCGCACAGTTCTTTGTTTCTATGATAGTTTGCTTAGTATGATGGTTCCCTAGTTGCATCCAAGTTTCAAGCATGGTTTTAAAAACTTTAAGTTTGTGATCAAGGTTAATTTCAAGAATAGCATTTGTGATTCGTAAGCTATAGTATTCAAATTTTTAGCACATAAAATATGAAGTTTGGAGTTACAGATATGCTGCATAAAATTTTCATTTAGAAGACTTGAAAATAAAGAAGCTATATAGAGAATTCTATAACATGCTTCAAGAAAGTTCCTTGAGAATAGAATTTTTCTGTAGTATCACAGAAAAATCTACTGCATTTACAGATTTTCCTGCTAATAACTATAACAAGTTGTTGCAAAGAACAGTGAGTTGCTACAAAGAGTTACTGACTCTAGATTAATTCTGCCTATATAACAAAAACAAAAGCTGCTTTTCCTTCTGCTGAAAATAATAAATTAACTTACTTATTTTTAGTACCCAGGCAAAATAGAGAGCAATGGGTATACTGTACGAACAATTAGATGTGTATGTTTCATATATAAAATAGGCAGTTTTTCTGTTTCTGAGACTGGAACCAAAAATTCACATGAATGTTTAAAGGTATTAATAATGGCTTTATTTTAAATTAAGAATGCTTAGAGTGTGGTTTCACTGGGCTTCTTTTTTTGTTGTTCCAAACAACAATTTGGCATTCCAAAATGCCAGACTAAAATCTTGATGCTAGAAGTCAGGAGTCCCATTTGCCTTCCTTTGGGGCTTTCATACTTAATTAAGGAAGAGCGCGAAAAGTATTTATTTGGGTATTCAGATTACATTTCTTTTCTTTTCTTTTTTTTGAGATGAGTCTCATTCTGTTGCCCAGGCTGGAGTGCAGTGGCACACTCATGGCCACCACAGCCTCTGCCCACTGAGCTCAGGCTATCCTTCCGCTTCACTTTTTGGTTATGGGTGAATCACTAATTCATTATGGGTGAATTTATGGATGAGTCACCAGTTCTCAATAATCTGGATGGGTGTTAGGTTAGACATATAAGTGGCATGAAAGACTAAGAATCACGGGATGAACAATCCCTTGTAACGGTTTTAATGTCATTCACAGGATTTCTTTGACAATGACTGACAATAATGACGAGGACTGGATAGATGTCTCAGCAAAACTATATAAAGGAGGAAGGCTCTTTATAGATCTAAATTTTCACAATAATTTTAATTATATGCATACTTTTTTTAAATTGGAGTCTCACTTGTTGCCCAGTCTGGAGTGCAGTGGCACGCTCACTGCCACCCTAGCATCGACCTGCTGGGCTCCAGCAATCCTTCCACCTTAGCCTTCCAAGTAGCCAGACCTATAGGCACGCACTACTATGCTCGGTTAATTTTGTTTTTTTGTTTTTTTGTTTTTTTTTGAGTTGGAGTCTCACTCTGTCACCCAGACTGGAGTGCAGTGGCCGCTCCTGGCCACCGCAGCCTCGACCTGCTGGGCTCCGGCGATCCTTCCGCCTCAGCCTTCCGAGTAGCCGGAATTACAGGCATGCGCTACCATGCCCGGCTGATTTTTTGATTTATTGTAGAGATGAGGTCTCGCTGCCCAGGCGGGTCTCGAACCCGCGGGCTCAGGCAATTCACTCACCTCAGCCTCCCAAAGGCACGGGATTACAGTAGAGACGAGGTCTCGTCAAGTTGCCCAACCTGGTCTCAGACCCACGGGCTCAGGCAATCCACTTGCCTTGGCCTCCCAAAGTGCTGGGATTAAGGCTGAGCCACTGAGCCTGGCCAATAATATGCATTTTATAGCAACAAAAAAGCTATTACATAAGAATCTTTAATTTGTCCCACATTATCTAAACTGTGCAAATGTCCATGCAACAATCCAACCTAATTCAAAACTTTAAATTTATTCATCCTGCTGAGAACATTTCCCTCTAAATTATCATTACTCTCTTCTCCATATTCCTACATAAATTCCACCTGCCAAAAAAACAGCACAAATCTAATCCCCTTTACAAGACCTGACCTAAATCCACCAGTACACCACAATTTCTTCCTTTCTGTAAACTGCTATTGTCTATATTACTTTTTTTTTTTTTTTTTGAGTTGGAGTCTCACTCTGTTGCCTAGGCTGGAGTGCACTGGCATGCTCATGAATACCACAGCCTTGACCTGGTGGGCTCAGGTGCTCCTTCCGCCTCAGTCTTCCAAGTAGCTGGAACTATAGGTGCGTGCCACCACCCTGGCTCATCTTTTGGTTCATTATAGAGACAAGGTCTTGCCAAGTTGCCCGACCAGTATGTCTCGAACCCCTGGACTCAGTCAATCCTTTCACCTCTGCCTCCCAAAATGCTAGGATTACAGGCATATATTACTTATTTTTAACTCAAACAGATCTAACCACTTTTATTAGTTAGCTCATGTATTTATATCTTGTTTCCCTAAGTGACAAGTTCCATCCAAGCATGTTTTATGTACATCCTTCAGAGTTCTTTACATGATCAGAAATGCTAGAAAATGGAAAACGTATATAAATAGTTATATTTTAGTCAGGAGAAAACCACATTATTATAATAAGGCTAAGGTCTTAGGACTGAATCCTAAATAAGCGAGTTAGCTGTGTATATTTTTGCATTTTTCTACAAATACAAAAATATACTTTCAACCCTGTTTTGTTGTGTTGAAATATAAATTGGTACAAAAAGGAATCTGAATGAGGAGGTACTGCGATAAGGTAAACTCACAATCCTTATCTTGGGACTGTGGGTGAGACTCAGAGAGTGTGTTTTACTAACAGCAGGTGGACTGAGTGTTATCTTTGTACATGAATGACTTAACTTTGCAATTAACCCATAATTTGTATTTTTTTAAGATGGCTGATTTTAAATTTTCTATGATTTATAAAAGGAGGCAATTTCTGCTTAAAATAATATCCAGATTACAGAAAGAAAATTTATACTATGTAAAAGAACTATCATTGAGAAACATCAAGTGCTCTAAACATACCTATTTTAAAAAAAACAGTAACATCAAATTCTATCAATTTATTAAAAAGATGAGAAGTGAATATTAAAAATTTTGCGGCCAGGCTCGGTGGCTCAGCCTGTAATCCCGCGCTTTGGGAGGCCGAGGTGAGTGGATTGCCTGAGCCCGCGGGTTAGAGACCTGCCTGGGCAACTTGGCGAGACCTCATCTTTACAATAAATCAAAAATCAGCCGGGTGTGGTAGCGCGCACCTGTAATTCCGGCTACTTGGAAGGCTGAGGCGGAAGGATCGCTGGAGCCCAGTGGGTTGAGGCTGTGGTGGCCAGGAGCGGCCACTGTACGCCAGTCCGGGCGTTGGAGTGAAACTCCAACTCAAAAAAAAATAAAATAAAATAAAAAATTTTGCTTAGCTATAGTTTAGTGTGAGTTATTTACTATTTATACTTGTAAGTAATAACATGCTTTTAAAAATATACTGGTCTTTTAAAAATTTTTAAATTCATTTTCTTCTTGCCTTCTTTTAGATATGCCGCAAACGTCTCTAAGAGTGAGTTTCATTTCTTACTCTTGAATTTTCCATTTGTTTTTATACCAGTTGTACTTAATTTTTTAAAAATTTCATGATTCTGAAAAGTACAGAAACTTTTTTTTTTTGAGTTGGAGTCTTACTGTGTCACTCAGGCTGGAGTGCAGTGGCATGTTCACGGCCACCCCAGCGTTGACCTGCTGGGTTCCAGTGATCCTTCCACCCCAGCCTTTCGAGTAGCCAGAACTACAGGTGTGTGCTGCTACACCCCCATCTAATTTTTTTTTAAATTGCAGAAACGAGGTCTCGCCAAGTTGCCCGGGCTGTTAGTAAAACACACTCTCTGAGTCTCACCCACAGTCCCAAGATAAGGATTGTGAGTTTACCTTATCGCAGTACCTCCTCATTCAGATTCCTTTTTGTACCAATTTATATTTCAACACAACAAAACAGGGTTGAAAGTATATTTTTGTATTTGTAGAAAAATGCAAAAATATACACAGCTAACTCGCTTATTTAGGATTCAGTCCTAAGACCTTAGCCTTATTATAATAATGTGGTTTTCACCTGACTAAAATATAACTATTTATATACGTTTTCCATTTTCTAGCATTTCTGATCATATAAAGAACTCTGAAGGATGTACATAAAATATGCTTGGATGGAACTAGTCACTTAGGGAAACAAGATATAAATACATGAACTAAGTAATAAAAGCGGTTAGATCTGTTTGAGTTAAAAATAAGTAAAATATGCCTGTAATTCTAGCATTTTGGGAGGCAGAGGTGAAAGGATTGACTGAGTCCAGGGGTTCGAGACAGGCTGGTCGGGCTGGAGGGCTCAGGTAATCTACTCGCCTCAGTCTCCCAAAGTGCTGGGATTACAGGCTGAGCCACCAAGCCCTGCCAAGAACAGAAACTTAAAAACTGAAGTTAAGTATAGGCCACTCATCTACTTTTCTCCAATGCTGGTTTCATTTTCAGTAGGGGTAAATTGGCCTAGGTTCTGGCTGAAGCTCCATCCTGTGATCTGGATTTCTTACTTAATAGCAATGTATTGTGCTGTCTAGAGTTAATTAGAAAGCATTTTCCTACAAAGACTTGGCTCAAAGAAGTAACAATGTATAGCAGAAAGCTATATAAACCAAGAACAGAAGTAGTAGCCAGTTTCCTATTATTTTAGAAAACAAATGAATTTACCATTAATGAATGTAGAATTAAGCAAATAATCTTTCAGGCTGGGTGTGGTGGTTCATGCCTGTAATTCCAGAACTTTGGGAGGCTGAGGTGGGAGGACTGCTTGAGCCTAGGAGTTAGAGACCAGCCTAGGTAACACAGCAAGACTTTGTCTCTACAAAAAAATACAAAAATTAGCTTGGCATGGTGCACGTGCCTGTAGTTTTAGCTACTTAGAAGGCTGAGGCAGGAGGATTTCCTGAGCCCAGGAGGTCAAGGCTATGGTAAGCTGTGGTCATGCCACTGCACTGCAGCCTGGGTAACAGAATGAGATTCTTGACTCAAAAACAAAACAAACAAAGAAACCAAAAAAACCCTCAAACCAAAAACAACAACAACAACAAACAACCCCCCCAACCACGTAATGATGCTCAGAGTATTTTATAAATATCCAGCAATGGTAATCACAGCACTTTGTGAGGCTGAGGTGAGAGGATTGCTTGAGACCAGGAGTTTGATACCAGCCTGGGCAACATAGCCAGACCCTGTCTCTAAAAAAAATAAATTAATTAATTAAAAAAGTAAATATCCAGCAAGATCTTCTCTGCATGTTTTTAGATATCAGTAAAGCATCTAGTTTGATTTGACTGAGAAGTATAAGAAAAACAGAAGTAGAGGTGAAAAATAAGTAGACAAATTCAAAAGAATAAGATATTTTTAACATAAAGATAAAAACCCTCAATCTTTTAAGACCTGTCTTAATTCCAAGAACAACCCATATGGTAGAAAAAAAAAACATTAAAACTAGCAATTTGTAGCCGGGTGTGTGTGTGTGTGTGTGTGTGTGTGTGTGTGTGTAGCACTTCATACAATTCAGTAAGGCTAGTAATACCAAAAATATATATATATTTAAATATATGGGCTAACGGGTTCAGAAATGTTCAGGAAATGCCCTGGGGTCAAATCATTACCAAGGAGGAAAAATCAGGACTAGAAAAGTCAGTTGTTTTAATGCAGGGCTCCTTTCTTTATACAGGGCTGTCTATCATTAATATCAGTAGATGCTTATAAGTAGTGTAAGAAAAAAACTATTACATAGCCAATGAAAGTCACTTTTTGTGATAAATATGCCATTTTAGATAATAATTTCTATATTTAATCATTCTGTATTAATTTAAGACAGTTATTTTAAAGTATATTGTCTAACCTAATTACAATCTTTATCCCCAAATACTTGCATCTTAATAATTGTATAAAAAGAGGTACCCACAATAACTTATTTTATTAAACCTGGAAAGGTAAGAGGTTATCATCAAAAAATGTAACTTTTTCAAAAAAGAGGAAAAGGGAATGTATAGTTTACAAAGCAGAATTTAGTAACCATTCTGTTAATTGCAGATTATCTGTAAATGACATTTGACCATTTCCATAAGATGAAATGAGATACAGCTTCACTGAACCACAGTTCAGTAACACCCATTTATTAAAAAAACTTAACAGAATTAGTTTAAACATTCACCACCTTTCCTCCATATCCACTAGCCAGTTAATTTTTATAAGATGAGGAAAAGAAAATGGCTAGGAAGAAAAACAGTATTTAATTAATGTCTGCCTTATGTCAGGTATAGATACACTAACTTATTCAGTTTCTTTGCATATTACTGTAAAATCTGGCAGTCTTGCTGTTGCAATATATACATCATTTCTCCCAAAGGACAACTTTAAAAACTAACCTGTCTACTTCGTCTCGAGCTACAATGTCTCCTTTCTTTAAGGCTTTAATAGCAAACATCTCATTTGTGTGTTTATATTCAGCCAACAGCACCTAAAACAAGATTAAAATAGTTATTTTCCATTTGAGTTACTAATTTTGTAGGTATTCCAAAAAACTCCAAAAGATTACCTTTCCAAAATGTCCTCTTCCCAAGACAGCACAACATCTGAAGTCTTGTAGATTAAACTGAAACCTCTGCTGAGACCTGAAACCAGTAATTTCAATTAAAATAAGGTAATAAAGTATGGTAGCAAACAAACTCTAGGAGCAAAACTTTATATTTATTCTTTACCTTCTATCCTCAAGCTCTCGAATACCACTATATTCTAAGCCTGATTGAGGAATATCAGGCTCATATTCAGATTGAGATTTTGGAAGTATACTATTTCTGTCATTCTCAATATCAAAAACAGTTTCTGAATCCTGTAAAACATTAAATACTTTATTAAACCACAGAAACATTCAGAAAGCAACTTATTTGGTAATGATAAAATTGAAGAAAAAAATATTTCAAAAGTCATCATAAATATTCAAGAGAAAAGTAAAATTCAGATACTGGTTATACTTTTTTGCTCTTTTTCTACCTTTTTTTTTTTTTTTTTTAATAGAAATAAGTCTTGCTCTGTCACCTAGGCTGGAGTGCATGACATAATCATTTCACTGGGTCCTCAAACTCCTGGGCTCAAGCATTTCTCCCACCTCAGTCTCCCAGGTAGCTAGGATTACAGGTACACGCTACCACACCCAGCTAATGTTTTGTTTTCTATTTTTTTTTTTTTTTTTTTTTTTTAGAGACGGGGTCTCACTATGTTGCCCAGGCTGATCTGAAACCCCTGGACTCAAGTGATCCTCCTGCCTTGGCCTCCCAAAGTACTGGAATTATAAGTGTGAGCCACTGGATCCAGCCCTTTTTTACTTTTATGTTCTCAGAGATGGGTCTCACTATGTTGCCCAGGCTGGGCTTAAACTCCTGGTCTCAAGTGATCCTCCCACCTCACCCTCTCGAGTAGCTGGAGCCATTAATTTCATATTACATTTATCTTAAAAATGTGAAAAATTAATACATTATTATAATCTTCTTCAGTGTATACTGTCAACCAAGTTAGAGATGAAGAGTGTTTCAAGCAACGTATCATCTAATATCAATCATGCTCCTACACAACTTCTAGTGTAAGCAGCCAATTCCATCACCTATGGGCATCCAAGGCTAATGACAATGGCATGCCAACATGAAGATGGTAGTTCTCTCTTGGCAGCTCAATCTAATTTAGCTGAAGATAGTCCATTCACAGGAAACATAAACGCACAGTTCCCGGTGACAATTTCAAATAAAAAAGACACTTTATTTACTATGATGCTTTTACCCCCATTCATTTGATGAAGAGGAATTACTCAAGGTTGATAATGACTTGCCTGTCCTGGTGTATCCAAAACCCTTAATTCAGAAGAGCCATCTATTTCTCCCAGTGAAGAAGCACGTGGTGGGGCCGGAGGAGGTTCAGGCTCAAGATCAAAGTCCAATTTAGTTACTGTAGAATCGCTTATAAAAGATAAAGTAATTCACCAAAACAGTAATTCAAAGTATGCATTTTAAATAGCTTTAAAATTAAAGCAACAACTTAATTTTTTAAAGTAGAGACGACTAGTTTCAAAATACCACTTGGAAAAAAATGAAGCTCTCAGTACACTGGTGTAATCAATATGTAAGAATGCCACAATAACTATTTTGCATAAGAGATGCTTAAAAATCTTAGACACATACCTCGCTGGAGGTGCTAGTTCAGGTATGCGCATGTCAACCACTGGCACTGTAGTAGGCACAGGAGCTTGAGGGCTGAAGGTGCCAGAATGATTTACTGTAGGAATAGCTCTTCTTACTAGTCTTCCCCAAGTGGCAATATTAATATTCATTTGAGGAGCTCTGAGAAATGTTTTGCCTGTAGATATTGAAAATAACAAAAATAAAATGAGTAATTTCTTTATATATTACCAAAAGCCATAATTTAAAAATCCATATTCATCAGTTTATAATTTATACATAAAGAAAATTAATCATTTAAAAAAAACAGTTTTTAACTATTTGTTATTCAAGGTTAGTACAAAATAGCATCAATAGTTTTACAAACAAACAGGTAAGGAAAACTTTCTTTTTCTTAAGTCTAATAATAATATGTGGTTAAGGTTTTAAAAATAATTCTTATCTTTTAGAAATAGAAACTACAGTATTTATTAATGAATCAATGAAACGCCTGGGTTTGCTTCAAATAATATGTGAAAGTAGTGAGTAGATGGGATACAGTCAACAAAATTAGCTGTGATTTGATTATTGCTGAAGCTGGGTGATGGTAGTACACTGCACTTGTGTCTCCACTATGGATGGGTTTTAAATATTCTAGCCGGGACTAGGTGTGGAGGCTCACACCTGTAATCCCAGCACTTTGGGAAGCAGAGGTGAGAGGACTGCTTGGGCCCAGGGGCTCAAAACCAGCCTGGACAACTTGGCGAAACCTCATCTCTACAAAATTAGCCAAGCATGGTGGTGCATGCCTATCGTTCCAGCTAGCTGGAAGGCTGAGGTGGAGGACTGCCTGAGCCCAGAAAGTCGAGGCTCCAGTGAGCAATAATCCCACCACTGTCCTCCAGCTTGGGTGACAGAGTGAGACTCTGACTCAACAAAACAAAAACAAAAACAAAAGCAAACAAAAAATATTCCAGCTGGGCATGGTGGCTCGTCCCTGTAATCTAAGCACGTCAGGAGGTGAAGGTGGGAGAATCTTTTGAGTCCAGGAGTTTGAGACCAGCCTCGACAATACGGTGAGACCTCATCTCTCCAAAAACAAACAAACAAAATAGCTGGGCATGGTGGCATGGCTCTGTAGTCCCAACTACTTGGAAGGCTGAGGCAGGAGGATTGCTGGAGCCCAGGAAGTTGAGGCTGCAGCGAGCTGGGATGACGCCACCGTAATCCAGTCTGGTGGCAAAGTGAGACCTTGCCTTAAAACAAAACAAAAACAAATACTCCCCCACTCCTCAAAGTTAGAAATAAATGGTCAACTAGAAAGAAAAAACAAAAACAAAAACAAAAAACCGCGGGCTCGGTGGCTCAGCCTGTAATCCCATGCCTTTGGGAGGCTGAGGTGAGTGGATTGCCTGAGCCCGCGGGTTCAAGACCCGCCTGGGCAGCGAGACCTCATCTCTACAATAAATCAAAAAAAAAAAAAAAAAAAAAGAAAGAAAAAAAACCACAAAGAGGTATTACTTTTTATTTAGTAATTAGATTATCTGTATTTAAGAAAATACCAAAATACCCTGTATTTGATTCTTAGTAATTACCTTGTTGTTTTGAAAAAATTTTCTTTTGTCTTTGAAGTTTTGGTCTTCTTTCAATAACTGGATTAAAAAAGGTGACCTGTAGTGAAGAAAATTCAAGTTGACATGAAAACATATTGTCATCTATGGTTGATAGAAATCCACTAAACTCAAAGATTTGAAAGCTTAACGAAATTTTAGTTGTAATTTAGTCCAGCCCCCTCATTTTCTAGATGAGAAAACAGACCTAAAGAGAATAATTATCTGTCTCAAGGTCACATACCTATTCAGTGGCAGAGTTCAGTCAAGAACTCAGGTTATTTTTCTGTCAGCCTAACACTCTCTCCACTTCTATATCACGCTGCCTACATACGTAATTTCAACTGTAGTTATTTACATTTAATAAAATACATGTATTACCTCTGCAAATAAAGTACCCTGTGGTTCCAAATAGAGACACATGCCATGCCGTTGGTTGTCTAAAAAATCTTCTAACCTCAGAAATTTTACAGCACACAGAGATCGCCAATCACGCCAATAAACTGAAATTTCCAGTTCACGTGACTAGGATAATTAAAAAAAATAAACAGAAAAGACATCATTGGACACACACTTGAATAAAATATCACAAAAATATGAAATACAAATACAATAAACGAAGATAACACACACAAAAGTCACACTATTTTAAAGACTTTTGTAATGTTTCTCAATTGTATATTACTTTAACAAACTTACACATTTTAACTCAAAGGAACAAAACTTATATTCAGACACTCTCCAGTTAAGGTATTCCTAAAGTATGCTTATAGAATACATTACTGGGAACAACCAATACAGATGAGTGACCACAGAGACTTTGCCTCTCACAGTTTCTTAGATTTCCCTCTTCCACTTACCATCACGTGCTATACTATTGCTAAAAAACCCAGTGTGTGCCTCAAAGAATCCATTTTAGTCCTTTTAAATTTACCACCATACTGCTGAGCCAGGAAAAGGCTTGCAAATAGTACTTAATCTGCAAGTACGATGTGCCACACACTATGCTAAGTACTTTAAAAATATTAGGTCATATAATTTTCTTTTTTTGTTTTTGTTTTTTGAGTTGGAGTCTCACCCCATCACCCAGGCTGGAGTGCAGTGGCATGCTCACGGCCACCCCAGCGTCGACCTGCTGGGCTCTGGTGATCCTTCCGCCTCAGCCTTCCAAGTAGCTGGAACTACAGGCGCGTGCTACCACGCCCGGCTAGGTCATTTAATTTTCAAAAGAATACCACTGGGTAGCAAGACCCTTGAGTGCAGGCTGTGAGTGCAGTGGCCTGTGTAGGAAGGGAAGAAAAGGGAAATTCAGACTAAGCTTTATACAGAAAGATATTCATTTATTATAACACAAAAAATTAAAAAGGAAAATCAGCAAGAACTCAAATGCTCAAAAACTAGAAATAAATTATGTTATACCATATCTATATAAGAGAATACACTGTAGTCACTAAAAACAGTGCTCACATTGGCAAATACACTGAACGTTTTAACAGCCTTAAGCATTAAGTGCATTTGTAGGATATAGTTAATAAATTGGGGTCAAGTCATAAACTGACTTCTACCTATATGCTGTAATCCATATATTATTTATTTATCTATTTTTTTTGAGTCGGAGTCTCACTCTGCCACCCAGGTTGGAGTGCAGTAGAGTGGCATGGTCATGGCCACTGCAGTCTCAACCTGTTGGGCTTAGGTGATCTTTCTGCCTCAGCCTTCCAAGTAACTGGAAACTACAGATGCAAGCCACCATGCCTGGCTAATTTTTGTTGTGATTTTTTTTTTTTTTTTTTTG